CATTATCAATCTCTCCATAGAGTCATAGACATTGTGCACTTGACAAAAGTAAAGGATGCGAAATGAGTAAGATTTGAATTCAATTCTTAATAATTGTATGAGAAGACAATTATATTAAATATAAAACATTTGCAAGTACCAGATGCAAATTTTATTTTATATAATTAATCTGTGATCAAAATTTAATTTACCTACTTTCAATGATGCTTCAACAGGTTTAAATAGGGCGTTGGAGATGGAAAAGCACAACTAATGGAATCACTGCTTACGAAACCCATTAAAACACATACTCCGTACAACCTTCGTTCTTTTTCACGCTGTCCCATTCACCAAACGGTAAAACCTTTTGTCAGATTATGACTTTGTCTTTGGTAAACAATTCCAAATTCTTCACTCTACCCGTCATTATTACCTACGTGTTGATAATCAACAACTTGATGCCTCGGGCTGATCATGTTGAATGAGAATTTACTCCATACTATCTTGACTTCCTAACTATTTCTCCAATTTTAATTTTTTTCAGTTAATTGTTTCTAACTTTTGATTTATAAATAATATATATATATATATATATATATATATATATATATTGTATTTTAATTAGATAAAATAAAATTTGGAAAATATTTCATTTAATCAATCTAATAAAATCATTTTTGTAACTATATCTAATACTCCGTACTCAATATCATTTGTATTTAATTTGAAGTTAAAATGTACTAATTTTAACAAAACAAAAAATCAAAAGTGGATAAATACTCATCAAAATATTTTTGAAAACTTAATACCAAAATACACTTCTGTTAAATCTCTTAAAAAACAAAACTTCCAATGTTTTTAGGGACGGAGAGAATATATAATTTCTATTCATAAATTTTATATCTACAATTAAATAAATTGAATTAAAAATAAAGTTGGTCAAACATGGTAACGCAGAACGGAAAGATTCAAATAAGACAGTGGGAGTACTTTTCTTAAGGACCATTTAACATACACGTTTAGGTAAGCTACTTTGTGTTTTGGAAAGATATATACTCCATCCGTCCCGGGAAAAATCTTCCCATTTGGACTTTTTCTCATTTTTTTGAAGTGTTGACTTTGGAAGTGAAATGTCCAATATACCCTTCATTTCTTTCCTGTTTTACAATCCCAGCCCTGCCCTGCCCTCCCCTCCCCTCCCCTGGTCTCTGCCAGGGCTAGCACCCACCACCGCCATCAACCCCGGCTCCATCGTCGCCGTCAGCTCCGCCAAAATTGACCCAGCCCCAACCACCACCGTTGTCGTCGCCTCTACCACAATTGACCCAGCCCCCACCACAAATCGCCCCTCAGCCCCGACGTAACCAATCACCATCAGTCGCACGATCCCTAGCCGTCAGCCCGCCACCATCTCCTCCAGGAGAAAGAGAAAAGGGGAAGAGAAAAAAGAAGGGAAGAAGATGAGAAGAAGATCTAGTACAGATCTATCGTAGATCTGGAAGAGAGTGAAGAGAAGAATTTCGGGAAGATAAGAAGAAGAAAAAAGAAGAAGAAGAAGAAGAAAAATAAAAAGAAAGAAGAATGGGGGAGGGAAGGGAAGGAGACGAAGAAAAAAAGAAGAAGAAAGTGGAAGAAGAAGAGAAGAGAACGGATGGACTAAGAAAAAGTGAAGGAGAGAAAGATAAGATTTAGGTGTGTGGTGAAGATTTATGGGAGGAGAGAGAAAGGGGAGAGGGGAAGGTTGGGGTTAAAAATTAATGAGAGGGAGTAATTGAGAATTTAATGAAAAGGGTATTTTTGGAAGGATTGAGGTTAAAAATTGAAATGGGAAGATTTTTTCCGAACGGGGAAAAAGGAGAAACGGGAAGATTTTTTCCGGACGGAGGGAGTAATATAAATTTCTATAGTTGAGTTGTTCTTCCGTGGTCCTAAAATCCACATGTAAAATATAGACCTTATAAAATATTCTATGGATTGGTGAGAGTTCTTTTTTATTTTTTTCAAAAGTCCAATTCTTTTATGATATCAATGCACTAAGGTCTTTATATGAACATGAACCTTACGATCAAAAAAAATTGCCAACTAGTTACTTACGTACTTCATTTAATTTAATTTATTTCAAGTGAGTGAAGTAATTTAAGTCACATGAAAATGAGATCGAATTCAACTAATAAACATACTCTTTTCGCCGAGAAAAAATGATTGTTAAGTAGTAACTTTTTCTTCAATTTTGTTATAAAATAATATTCCATATTTTTTTCTTCTCTTTTTTTAATATGGGATCCATAATACTCTTCATTTTCTAAAAAACTCTAACCACTCTCTTTTATTCCATCTGTTTCAAAATGATTTATAGAACGATCTAGAAAATCTCGAAACTTTTAAAACTATGTTATTTATAAATTGATATAAAAATAAAAAGCAATAATTACATATTTAAAATGTACATCAAATATTCTACAAAACAATATGTGACAAAAAATATTTTAATTTATCAAATAATCAATAAAAACATGCAAACAAATACTCGCTCCGTTTCCTAAAACCATTCTTGTTTTGACTTAGGAATGATTTATTTTCGTAGTCTGACCTTCTAATTATATCCTTATCATCAATGAAAAAGAGAGAAAAATCATTTAAATGACTTATTATATTAATGCAAATTGAATAAAGTATATTGCAAGGATTTAATTTAGATATTTTAGTCATTTTTTACAAAGATGGAAGTATTTTAGAAAAAAAATGAAAGAGGAACCGCTTTAAAAACGAAAGGGGTAAAAGTTATCGAGATGTCGTAATAATAACAATGTATGAAGTAAATCATTTTAGAACGGAATAAGTACGATTCAACATTTTTAACGCTTCGCAAATTTTTATGTAAGACAAAGCGGAAAACTCTTTTTAAAGTTGTGTATGTCTGGCCATTATTCCCCATCTATTACTTATTAAAATTGGTCATTAAGAATTCTTGATGCGTTAAAAATAAATGAATGTAAAAAATAAAGTATGTTTACTTTTATTTTTCAATGTATCATAAATGTTGGTCAATTAAAAAAATTGAAGAGCTGCCAGTGGGCGTAGCTTACCCAATGGAACAAGGTGTGCCAAAGGGGGTAAATCCGAGTTCGGTTCTCAAAATTGCACGGGGAAGCAACCGTGTTAAATATCATGCGGGGTAGTTTGAACATCATTATTTTCTCGTACTATCATGCTAATTAAACTGTTGCTTACACCACCTGATTTAGGTGTCCACAAATTTTCCTCTTACATCATGCATGGGCTGTCGTTAGTTAAATAAATCACTTATCTTACTTGTATTATCAATTAGTATTAAATTGTTGCTTAACCCGCCTAATTAATTCAAGGTGCACAAATTATCCTCTTACATCATCCGCGGGCGGTCTCTATTCTCTATTTGATTACGGAGTAATTAAGATGATAAAATTGGCGGCATTCCACACCAATTACATCACCACACCATGCGTGTATTATTGAGCAGTCAACCAACTACCTCCACTTATTGAAACCTTTTTCACACTCCAAACACTCCATGTTCTATATATTTTGCTTGGATTTTTCCTTTATGGGCGTCTTCTCTAGCATACCTGGTCAAGTGATCAGTTTGAGTTCATGTACAATATGTCATTGTTATATTGGTTTTCTTGTTGGAGATCAACGAACATTTTCATGTGCGTTGATATCTCATTTAACTTATCTTCCAAATTGTTACTCTCCGATGAAAATGGACGTTTTCCTCGATCATTTTCAGTCATTTAAATGTATTTCAAGCAGAGAGGAACAATGTCACGAACCAATGTCGGTAGACGAATTCGTCTTGGATCATTTTGGGGCTTGAAGGTGCGGGACAGGATTTCACTTCGTGGATTGACGCACCAATCCCCATGCCTTGGCACTTGAATTGTGAACGCGCCCCGCTCAAGAGTGTATTTCATCAAGGCCTTCTTCATAACCATATCGTAACTCTGGCACCTATTTTACCCATCCAAAATGCCGGAGAACATAAAGACCTTTGATTGAAGATCTCGCCATTTACTCGAGATCATGTCATTGGTCCAGCATTGGTCGCGATCCATCACTTCAAAAAAATTGAGTCTGGACCCGAGTCCAAAAGTCAGAGGATGTTTGATTATGGCTTAAAAAGATATTGTTAAAGGGTGTAAAAAAATTAAAAAAAACCAAAAAAAATTATATTAAAAATTAAAAAAAATTGAATAACCAAAAAAATTGTATTTAAAAAATGAAAAAATTATTATATTAAAACAAAAAAACATTCAAATAGAACAAAACGTAAAATGAATTAATTTGAGGATCCCCGGAGGTGCCGTTAATTATAGGCTCGAGCTAGGGAACCGTCTCCGCCTTGATACTTTTCATTAAAAATATTAAAAACTTAATTTAACACCCTTATATATATATATATATATGCACCCCTTGTTTGGATGAGGGAAATATGAGAGAAAAAATATTTGGTTAGAAAATAAGAAGGTAAAAGGATAAATCATGTTTGTAAGAGTGAATAAAAACAAAAAGAGATAGAAAATATTAAGTTATTTTCTCTCATCATTGTTCCTCCTCAAGTGGAGTGAAAAATTTATTTTTTCTCCGCCTATTATATCCAAACTAGAGAAGGAAAAGATAATTTTAATTTCCTCTTCAAAATTTTACATCCTTATTTATATATATATTTTTTCTCATTCAAATATATCCAAATAGAGGTCATTATAGTGCGTATTTATTTATTGCGTAGTATTCCATCCATCCCAAGCCATCTTTATTTTCTTTTATACACTTTAATCAATCATTTGATAAAATAAAATAAATTTATTATAACTTGTTTTTCTAAACTTTTGTTGTGGTTTTTTAATGTATATAATTTTTATTTTTGTAAATCTACACTAATTTTTTGCTTATATTAATTTAAAAACAACTTCATTCAAACATACAAAACCAAGAAATCAAAGTCTTCTTTCGGGGCCAAAAGATTTTTTTAGAGTCAATCCAATTATTCCACGTTTTTAGAAGTTGGACCAGACCGATTTTGTCTGGGTCACGACTGGTCAGACCGCTCCGTCAAGTCCGGGTTTAATAACGTTGGGACCAAGACATGTTATGGTAGTATGAGTAGTACCAGTATCGTCTGAGGCAAGGGATGGCGTGCGCGAGCAGCACAGTACTCTCACAGTGACCGGACCGTCATCTAGAAAATGGATCGGGTGAGACCCGGGGAGCCCGACGGCTTAGAAAATTCACTGATGCAGATGATCAACGATCACCATTATAGGCATCTCAAGCTCCGGGCTCTAACAGGTTAGTCACCAGATCGAAATCGATTCGATTGTAATCCCGCTTTTGTTTGCTCCACCTCTGCGAGTAGAATTTAGAGATTTGCTTCTTACTGTTTCAAATTTGCGTAATTGATCAGAGGAATCGAAGAAAGATGCAGTTCGCAGTGCGAGCCGGGTTGCGGATCTTCTGGTCGACGCCGTGAACGGTGGCGTCCAAGAGGCTTACGTAATCGAGAAGAGAATCGAAATGGAGATCCGTGCATTGGCTGCTGCCATTGCCCGATTCGGAAAACAAACCGATCAATGGCTTGCGGCTTCTCACGCAATTAATACTGCAATAAAGGTAATTAATTCATTCATTGTTTTGATTAAGGAGTATTACTTTCAAATTTCGTGAAATGTACAAGCAAATCGAGCCAAAGGGAATTCTTATTCCATTTTTTTAAGCAAATTCATTATTGGAATCCACCACAATGGAATTTTAATTGGGATAGGAAGCACTGAACTATTCCTAGTTCAAACAAATGAAACAATTCAGCATGCTGTCCAATTTTGGTCTTCAACATGTGTCTCTCCCAAAAGAAACTTTTCACTTTCCTTTTTAGGTCTTTCCGAAATAAACCTCTCATTTTTCTTCAAGGAAAGAATTATGTGGTTTGTATTATTTCTCTTTTCAATGTATAAATCTCAACTACAAAGTTTCAATTTTTGAAACTATGTGCAAAATGCAAACAATAAGTTTAAATTGGGACAAATGGAGTACTATTCTTGGTAGGTTTGTAATCAAGTAATTCATAATCTATGAAATGTCTTCATTCCTAACCCATAATGAATGGGTAATTAATAAGTTTTGATATGTATATTCTTTATCCATGTGTGAAGGTATTTGAAATGTTATTGGTCTGTGGTATGCATTTTCCAGCATTTGAACCAGAAGATGAATATTATGACAAATAAAATTTTTCCATCATCTTTCTTTGATTTTGTTCACGGAAGTTTTATAAAATTTTGTTCTTGGCAGTTGTCATAACTTCCATAGATTTCAAGAGACCTTTGTATTTTATAGGATTTCAGTGGCATTCAATTCTAACATTTTTATGAAGTCTTTAAAAGTTAAGTGGTCTTCATTCCATACTGAAGTCTTTGTATATGTTATCAAAGTTAAGTCCTAGGTCTCTAGCATCCTCATGCTATACACCAAACACAATCTCACAC